GGTGACTAATGAATCCAAACAGCATTCTGAATTCGACTGAAATTTAAAGGGCATTTCTTTAAAACAATGACAATACAAATAACATTTTTTCCTTGTTAAAATATAATTACATTTTTTCGTGATGGATGGTCAATGAAGTTTGTAAGAAAATCATCAACTTTAATGATTTATGTAACTACATAATTTACTTATAACTAACGGTGAAGGAAGAAAATAAATAGAGAAGAAAGAGAAAAAGGAAAGGAAGCAAGAGAAAAATGAAAGGAAGCACTTCTATTGAGACTTGTAGTTCGAAAATAGCTAATTTGTTCTAGAATTTTGTTAATTGCAATATTTGGCTAGTGAAATTTTCCTGTGAACAATACCTTGAAAGTCAATAAAAAAGTAAGAGGGAAAATAACAGTTAATCCTACAATATTGAAAACAATAAATAGCATGTCTTCAAAGTTAATCATTTAAAAACTCCACAAGAATTAAATTGTTTTCCTTTCCTACATTCATCCCAAATTAAAAGTAAATATAGTATCAAAAAATTGCACAGTACAAAAAGAAGAAGAAGAAGAATTGAGTAGTGGAGATTATAAAATAGTAACTATGATCAAAAGTAATCACAATTAAGATAGCGTAAATACGGTAAAACCGTGATGATGGACAGTTTATTTGACAAACTTCATATACATGTCATAGTACTTTTATAATTTGAGTTCATATTCATATTCGAGATAACAAAGATAACAGAATCCAAATGCTCATTATTCAATAAATCATTTCAGTTTATCGATGTGGAGTTGCAATTGGTAATTTTTGTCGTTTCTGAAATCAAGTTCTCAGATTTGAAGAAGATTATTCCAAATAAATAAATATAGAAACTTTTTACATTACCTGCAAGTAAAAGATTAAATCCCCAATCCATTGAAAGCCCAGTGTTGAAATTAAGTAAAGAGTGTATTGAGTTTGTTCTATTATGAAAGTTCAAGCAAATGCCTCCGTTATTATGGAGGCTCAAGCATTGAACCTTCGTAATTACGGAGGCTCGACACTTTTGACCCAAATGCCTCCGTAATTATGGAGGCACAAATTTTCATTTTTTTTCTTTTCTTTTTCCTTCACTGACTCTCAATACAACAATTTAATTTCATTTAATCAACTTAAATTTTTAATAGACGTGATTCCTAAAATAAATAAGTACATAAAATATAGATCAATTTTTTATATATACAAAGATTATATAAATCCTTCAAATGAGCAAAAATGTAGATAAATGATGGACATATTAATCACATTTCCAATCATAACCTTCTAAGTGCAATCAAATATTGTGTGAAACGTGTTGATCAAATAGTCACTCACGTCGATAGTTCAGTATTTTTTTCTCCTCACTTTTGTTTTTGGAAAGAGTAATATCAGACTTTTTCGGTAACATATTATCCATTTCTACAACCAATGTTAATCTATTCTACTATTTTTTACACCCAATTATATTTACTCTTATTTACCAACCTATTCCATCCACTTTTCAATGATTTTCAAATATCTAAAATTAAACAATACAACACTATTCCTTCATTGGAACTCCTTAATTGAAATATAATGTTCATAAGAAATTTACACACACATTACGCAAATAGATACATTGTTTCACAAAAACATTTGTTTTATATTCACTTATATAGAAACCATCGTATGCGTATATTTCATTTTTTTTATATCTTGATACGGATCCATTGCATACTAAAAAAAAGAAAAGAAAAAAAAGAAAGAAGAAAACATTAACAACAAAAATTCGAAATGAAACCAATTCACACAAAACGCAAGAAAAAAATCAATCAAGCTCCGTTAAATGAAATTGAGCTGCCGTCCACAAATTTCAATAAAAACAAGAATAAGAACTAAAATTCAGAACAACCAGATCTCAATCAATCCATACAAAATATATAACAAATAATATGTCGGTAAAATGGAGAGAACATGCAGTAGCGTCTGAAAATGGAGAAGAAGAAAGAAACATCTACCTAAATTGAGGACAAGTGGGTGCATCACTGTAGCCTGCACGTTTTTTTTTTTTGGTGTTCTAGAGATGGAAAAAAATTGCTGTGAAATGGAAGAATCTATTGTTCTTTCTACAGTATAACTAACATTGCCTTTTTTATATAGTAGTGATTAGATAATAATATAATATTGTTAATTGAAATTTTTGAAAAGTTTTTACTTTTTTATTAATTAAAATAAGATGAACAATAATTAATTTATTTATAAAGTAAACAACAAAAGGGGCCAATAGTTGGAGTTATTTTCATTGTTCACAATTCCTACTTTTCGAAATCCATAAATAGCTGGGCAAGAATTGGGTCAAAAGTTATTTGGACCTTTTTAGTTCTAGGCTTCAAAGTTGACAAATATAAAATTTTTATGGGAAAATTACACCCCTACATGTGTTTAAACTTCCAAATTCTAAATCCAGGGTTGAAGATTACCTGTGCAAAAATCAGGTTTTCTATATAATTAATCTATCCCCAATTAAAAACCCTAAACATATCCCCAATTTTCTTCCCTCTCTCTCGTCTCTCTCTGCCTTCACTGCCGTCGCCGTCGAGGAGGCGACCGCCGCCGGAGATAATGGGGCAAATGATCTATTTTCCCTTTGCTTTCCTCTCTCAACAATGGTGGCGGCGCCGGCAGGCCGATTGTCACCTCGTAGCGGAGTTGCGCGACACAGCACTATACTCTCGCACGATGACGTTTAAGATAGGAAATGGCAAGAGGCGCACTGGTGGTGCAGCGACACTCTTCTCACGCCCGGAGGAGAATCGCTGCCGTCGCCACTTTTCATATTGAATATGGCGACCGGTTTTTGCAGAGCATAGAAAGGCGATTTTGTTGCAAGAATCGTGACGAATTGCGATCTGTTGCCGGACATTAAATGTTAACAGTCGCAGGTGAGGTGTTGATGGCGTTGGTGGTGGTGCGGTATATTTTGACAGGATTAGTGGCGAGTTTGTGTGATCTGGCTCTAGTGGTATGTGTGGTGATGTTGCTGGTAATGTGTGTGGTACGTTCAGCAATGTTGATGCTATCGTCGTGGTGGTTGTGCGGTGTTGGGGTAGTGGAGACTGGAGATGCTGGTGGTGGTGCAAGTGGGAGTGGCTGTGGTTGTCGTGGGTGATTTTGTTGGTGTTGGTGGTGGTGGTGGTGGCGGTGGCAGCAGTAACTGGAGTTAGTGGGGATTTTATTGGCATTGGTGGTGGTGCTGAGTGAGGGTGGCTCGGGATTGGGCGTCTGTGACCAGTTTGGTCTTGTGACTGTAATCTGTAACTGGAGATGCTGGTGGTGGTGCAAGTGGGAGTGGCTGTGGTTGTCGTGGGTGATTTTGTTGGTGTTGGTGGTGGTGGTGGTGGTGGCGGTGGCAGCAGTAACTGGAGTTAGTGGGGATTTTATTGGCATTGGTGGTGGTGCCGAGTGAGGGTGGCTCGGGATTGGGTGTCTGTGACCAGTTTGGTCTTGTGACTGTAATCTGTGACCTTAAAATTCGAACAATTGTGATTTAAAAGTAATATGTGACCATCAAATTTGAAAATATGTGACCTGTGACCTATACAATTTTTGATATGTGATTTCGAAATTATCTGTGACCTACAAAATTTTTAATTTGTGACCAATGACATGAATTGTGACCTATAAAATCAATAGATAAACTGTGATATGTGACTTCGAAAAAATCTGTGACCTATCAAAGCTTTGATTCGTGACCTCAAAATAATTCGTGACCAATTAATTTGATGATATGTGACCAATGAATAAATCTGTGATCTATAATTGTGTAAACGTGACCATTAATTGTATATTTGTGATTTTATTATATTTAATTAATAAATATATTTAATTAATTAAATAAAAACCTGATTTTTGCATTAGTTAAACTTAAAACATGGTCTTTGAATTGTGCATAGTTAATACATGGTTTATGAATTCTTCCCAATTTTTATTTTCCTAATTTCTTCAGTTTCGTATAGGAATATCATATCGAGATAACATAACAAATCATATATGAATTTAAAAATCAAATGTTTGTTGAATTATCGAATCAAATCAGATATGGGCCATGTCCAATCCATATTCGTTTGATTTATAGCCTGAACAATCTCCAATGACAAACAATTCTTCTGTTGAGAAGTCAATGTCTCCTTCATCGATGTTGGTTTTGAAGATTGTGAGTGATTGGAACCACACAAATCAAGCCAATTTTGATAGCATAGAGTCGAAGGAGCATTTTGACGAGATGAAAAGCCAACAAAAGGTCGGGGTTTAGGTCTGAAGTAATTGCTTTTGGGTTACGATTGGCCAACGAAAGTGTTATGGATCCTGATCGTAGTCGCGGCAATTTGGTTGGTGGAGGTTGCGTGGGTGAATAGTGTCTATGGCCAATTAATTGGGTAAATTACTATTAATAAATATTATGTTACATATCAAATGTGTGATTTTCAAATAAATATGTGATTAAGATCCATAAATTGTCTTATATGAGTATGACCTCATGTAAGTTGTAACCACAAATAGTATGTTATTGTTATCGTGATCTATTAATTAATTAAAATATAGGTCACAATATTTTATTTGAGGCCACAAAATGTGATTATCCGATTTATAAATTTTTCACAGATTTATGAATTTTAAAATTATATTTTGTTAAATTTATAATTAAGATTTTTTTATTTTTATTTATACAAACTAACGCATGTTTTTATTAGAGTCAAACGCGGCTTTAATTATATGTACTTAAAACGGTACTGAAATTAATCAAACTTGACAACTGAGATGGTTTTTTGGTTTCCTCCTGGGAGACTGCGTTCCTAACGCATGCACTATAATTACACGTTCCTTTCACATTTTGCATTAATAAATACATAATTAAAAAATCTGTTTTCACTTAATTATGCCCTACTAATTACACATATAACCGTATATATCATCCCAGCTAGCCCTTCCTAATCTCACATTCACATTCCAAAACAAAATATTCTCTTTGATCAACCATGGAAGAAGAAGATGATGAAGTTTGTAACACAACACTTGATTTGGGAATCGGATTAAACAAATTCATGCCGAAAAGGGATCATGATCGGAAGAATAAGCGCGTGTTTTTTCTTGATCTTTCGATCCCACTTCACTCGAGTAATCATGCAATCGAGGGCTCGGGTTCTGGCTTTGGTTCTGGTTCCAGTAGTTTGAAAGTCAATTTTGAAGATGACAAACAAGCTAGCAAAGACAGTGTTTCCAATGGTAGCAAAGAGGATGAAGACAGAAACTATGGCAGAAAGAAATTGAGGCTTAGTAAAGAACAAATCTTCTTGCTTGAAGACACTTTCAAACAGCACACTACCCTTAATACGGTATGCATCTGGATTCTCGTTTTATAAATATATATTTTTCTGAATTATTGTTGAAAATAAATTGGCTTTTCTTTTTTTCCGTTTGAAATTGCATGGATGACAGGTTCAGAAACAGACACTTGCAGAAAGGTTGAATCTGAAACCAAGACAAGTAGAAGTTTGGTTTCAAAACAGAAGAGCCAGGTAATTAATTTTTCAAAACTATACTCATTCTTAATTTAATTTCTTGTTATGGATTTAATCTTTATTTCGGTTTTCTGCATGGATTAATTGAATACAATTTATTCATAATTATTATACAGGACGAAACTGAAGCAAACCGAGGTGGACTACGAGTTCTTGAAGAAACACTTTCAAAGATTAAGCGAAGAGAATCGGAGATTGAATAAAGAGTTGGTGGAGCTACAGTCCGCCGTGAAAATGGAACAAACACCGTCAACGCCGCTGCCGTTTTTCATTCAGGTACCTAAGGCGGCGGCAACACTTACAATGTGTCCGTCTTGCGAGAAAGTTAGCAAGAGTAGGGGCGGCGACGGCGGAAAAGCAGGAGGCGGCAGCGGCCACACTGGAGGTGGTCCTTATACCTAAACAATAGGAAAACGGCTTGAATATATAGACGTCACTGTAAATTAATGATTTAAGCAGACATTAATAACTCAATAATTTCTGGATGAAAATTTCATAGGTGATCACTTAATTTACAAGTCTATTCTATGTTGCTACTTAACTTTATTTATACAATAAAAATTATTGAAAAAGATCCACAGAATGTTATGAATTGGAAGTTGGAACGAATTCTTTACTTCTCGTAATTGAATAGTCAAAAGCTAAATTATGTTTTATTTTTTTTATTGAATTTGCTTCGTTAATAAATCATAATTTGACTTTGATCATCATCGACTAATAACTCTAATTCTTAATAAATTCTAACATTAAGAACAATAA